AACCAAACTGAAATGTCACCTGTGCAATTAACTTTTTGGATATATAAAGCATTTTCTAATTTTATTTGATATATAAAATAGTTGGTCATAGTTTTATTTATATGTTTTGATTATAACAAATCTATGAGCCGAAAGTAGAAAGTCTCTTCTTCACACAAGGTACCACAATGTGGTGTTAGTATGCCAACATTACAATTCAATTATTTATATAAAAAAGCCTGACTCTTAAACTTAGGTTTTAAAATCGGCCCAAACTCAGAGGATTTTTTTCCCCCAGATATCTCTGGGAACTATCTGCACCCTGGAACTGGGCTGCTGGAGCTGCCTCACTGAGACTGTATCCTAGAACAATGCTGTTGAGTCAGGCCCCACCCATGATTTTATTCAAAATGGTCTCTCCAGCTTCAACTGGGGAAGCTCAAGTCTGGATCCACCCTTACCAGCAAGCAATCTTTCTCAATCTTGTATTTTCATCCCTAGTTCTAGAATATCTCAGATACACAATCTCAGTCTTCCTTCCTAGTCTTCACTGTATTCCATGAAGTAAATATCCTTCATTGGCTTTCAGCATTTTGATGTATCAATTTCTCAAGGTACCCACATTCATTCATTCTATTTTTTTGAGTGGAGTGGCAAATTGAAGTTTCCAGGAAACAAGATCAGGTGCTCAGGTCACAAGGCACGAAAGCGCATGATTAGTGAGCTTACCAAGCTTAACTAAAAGTCATTAGTCCAGATTCTGTCTGTTTCATAAAAGTCATTGCTACATGCATGCACCCACTTACCCCTGTGCAGTGCACCACACACCACATATAACCAAATAACTAATAAAACAAAAGAAACAAACATTTATAATTATTTTAAACAATTTAGAGAATTTTTCAATCAGATGCAATTTCAAGGAAGAATTTGCTCAATTATAATAAGCTAACTTCTAAAAGATTTCATAAAAATAATTGCTCATATATTTTGATGCATTTGTAGTTGTTTTTAGGCAAGATGTTTTAGTGGCTGAGTCATTTATCAATTTTTAAAAAATACTTTATTATTTTTATTAAATGTGTTATGAGTGTATTGCCTGAATGTAAGTGCACTCATGTTGTGCAATGTTTATGGCGGTCGTCAGAAGAGGGCACTGGATTCCCATGGAACTGGAATTATGGATGGTGCTGGGTGCTGGGAGTCAAAATCAGGTTCTCTGTAAGAGCAGCCAGTGATGGCTGAGCTGCCTCTCCAGCCCTCACTTATCAAATTCAAGATAAGCAGCATTAAATGAAACACACATGCAGGTGATTGCAGTTTGGAGTCTCGGTTGTTCTAGGCTGGTCTCTGCCTGTGGTTAGTTGTCTGATCTTTGGAAATTCTAACACTTCTGAGTCTCAATTTTTTGTATGTCGAGGAGGCCATACAGCACAACTTCTAAATTTCTAAAATTAGCTCTTCTGCTCTCAATTTGAATTGTCCAGTATGGTCATCCTTAGTCTCAGATGGCTACTGAGTACTTGCAATATGGCCAGAAATTCTGGTGTGCTATAAATATAAAATGCACACTGTAAACTAGATTTTGAAGACTAGGGCACACATCTGATTTAAGGTATCTATTTAATAACCTTTTCAGCTGGGTTTCATTATGAAGAGATACTATTAGGGTTATGTTTGGTTAAGAAAAATACATCAATGAAATAAAGTTCACACCCCCCCGTAATATGGCTGCTAATTAAAATGATATGTCCCTTATATTTGGGTTTAAGTTCCCACCCGTTTCTATTGGATAACACACCGAACACACTCTGAACTTACAAACTAAGTTTGATGAGGGTT